AGAGAGAGAGAGAGAGAGAGGGGGGGGGGGAGATGCTGTAGCGAGAGGCGGGAAAGAGATGGACAGATAAATAGATAATGCGTGAAGAGAGAAAGGCGAAGAGGGTGAAGAGTTAACTAAAAGGGAAGCGAGATTAGAGTTTAATTCGGCATTAACTCGACGCATACGAGACAGACGATGTGCACGCACGAGGGAGAAGGAGAGATGCGCGCAGCAACGACTTCGTTCGAGCGCAACGCGATAGAAACTACTCGTCCGAAAGTTCATGGAGAGATTAAACCAGCTAGCCACGTCAACATTATCGAAGCGCGTACATATATGAGGGAGTAACGAAACGGTTCGTAGGAAAATGGACAGTCGCGGAAAGCGATGGAAATCCGAGAGTAAATCTACAGTTAATTAAGCAAACTGACAGAATAGCGGAGTAAGTCAGTAAACTAGAGGGTAATTCGTATTGTAAATCGCCGTTATTTTTAATTTCGTTACGGGATTGTAATTAAAACGCGGATCGCTATTGTTCTCGCTTGAAATGTTAACATTTCGAGGTCGATTATGCCACGCAATAACTTTTGAAATAGTTTCCTTTTGTAGGATCAGCAAAAAGAATTGCGCGATAAGGCAGTTAGCGTTTTGTAAGCTAATTTGCATTTCCAGTCGCAGCAATAAGAAGTGGTACCGTCCACTGATATCATTTCGCGCCTACGTAGAGAGTAGAATATATTGCATTGTATTTATCTACAACAAATAAAGCAGGTTCGATTCGCGAAATCGATAAATTAAAATTAATTAGTTGTTCTCGTGACCAACAAAATTGTAAAACAAATACTAAATATATATGATATGTGCTATCCGCCAAATTAACAAACGTTCTAAATGTTTGCGGAGCCACAAAGCGAGGGGGATCGATAGAAGTGATTTACATTCGCGCGCACATCATTGTTGGAAACAATCCATATTACTATAAATCCAATTACCCGATATGAATACCATAAATTCAATATCCACCCGCCGCAATCTCGATACCGTCCAAGTAATAATTAATATACGAGCCGCAAGTAGAGCCATCAACTTTCGAATACGGAGTTTACGGGGGCTTAGACGCGCCCGCGAGCTTACGAGTCCCCCTCGCTTATCATCACTTCCAATTGTGATGAGGATCCAGAAGCTTCCACGAGCCGAGCTTCAATTTTCTCCCGGAGGGCCCTAATAAAAACGCAAGGAGATCGAGGAGACAAACGAGAAGGACACGGAGGACGGCCGGATGCTCGTCAGGTGCCGGTCCTCCAGTCATTCAGCCCAACATCCCGAACGTAATCCCTTTGTCCGTCCGCAACGAGGACGATGAAACGTGTCGAGGATGCGTTATCGAGACTCGTTCGATGTGCTCGCGATCGAACGGCGCATCGAGGAAAGTACAAAAAGCGCCTGAATCAAAATTCAGCCGATGTTCGGGCACGCGATCTATTTCCTTATGGCGATTGGTTTTACATTGCACGAAACACATCTCTCTTGTGACGAACGTACGCCCGTTCTCAACGTCCATTGCTTTCCATCGCCTATATTATAGAAAATACTGCCGCGAATCGCCACGTAGGTATTCTTGGCGCGAGTCCTATCGAGTTAATTAAGTTGACGTTATATCGACTTGGAACGGGCTATCGGCCAAACTCTAATTTAAGTATTTCTAGGAGAATGAGGCCTCCGCGGACGAAATCGCCCGGAAAAATGCGCCTCTCCACGGTAATTCTAAGTTGATTACTAAGCTCGCGTTTCGGCTGCTCGAAATTTCGCGCCGTCGGCTACCGCGAACGACTATCGACCCGGTCGAATTGACAGCGAGACGATACTATTGGTTTCCGGGCTGTTTCATCGCGGCGAACAAGAGTCTTGCGACGAACGGCTGCGGATTGCGGTGTAACGATGTCGATACGCGGATTTTCGCGATCGCGAGTGGCAAGTGTGAAGGCGCGTCGTGGGGGGAAGAAGCGTGTAAGCCTGATTTTAATGTAGCGAGATAATTTGAGTAAGCACTTTGGTAAAATGAGCCGTCATTCGACAATCTGGTCGATCTGACGAGTGAACAGCATTTCTCGCATCGAGTACAAATCACAAAGCAGCGGCCAAGCTGCTAAAAAGTCCACAATTTTTAATATTTCATTTGATTATCGTCAATAACAAAGAAATGTTTAGAGACAGATAATCTTTTCTTTGTTCAAAAATAATTAGCAAAAATCAGAGGAAGAACATATTGTGTCCTTAAACCGAAATATCTCGACATGGGAATTCAATACGAGATTACGGAATGCAGAGAATTTTGAGAATTATTGTCTACCATAAATTAATCAACGGACTTCGAAGATCTACTTGGAATTTTGTATCATTACACTGAGAAAAATTTCCATCGGGTAAACCAATTAAATAGCGTTTCCCGATTAAATTATGGATACATTCGATGAAATTTGTCCGATGAAATGCTGTTACCGATTAAATTTGATCAGAAAACCGTTCATATGTTTCATCGGACATACAATTTAATCGGCTATATCCGTTTGTTTTTATGCAGTGGGATTGTCCGTTTACATTTAATCGGACATTTTTCTCAGTGCATCAGTTTGAGGAGAAGAAATAGACGTTGAACCGTGAAGATGCTAAAAACTGTGGATTTTACAACTGTGACGTTTAGCCGGTGAAATAATCAAGTGGCAATAAAAGTTTATTACCGCGAGCTAATCTTCGTCGACAGGACGCCACGAAATGTTATCTCGCGGAACTCGATTAGATCCTTTCGCGAAGAGCCACCGAGGCGAACTGAGAAAGCTTTAAATTAAAGCCTGTCTACGTGAGACGAGACACGCGACAGTTGAAAAAGTCGTCGGTCAAATGTTGCTCGTCGCGAAGAGTTCGCGAGCTATCCTCTCGCGACTGGGGAAGATACGAGAGAAAGAGAGAGAGAGAGAGTCGGATAAGAGCAAGATCGCGCGAATCGTCGAGCGAAGAAAGGGTGCTTTTTATACGGCGCGTCACGGGAAAACTTTGGCGAACGCTCGCGGCGATCGCGAGCGGGTTAAAGCCGATTTTTCGAGCACAAGCGCGAAAGTGGTAAAGCACTCGGAACTCGCGTACAACGAGAAAAAAAGAAACGATCTCCCTCGTCCCTCTCTTTCTCTCTCTCTCTCTCTCTTATTAGGCTTATCCATATAACTTTGGTTATTTTGCTATGGACTTGTATGTCGAATGCCATCTCACACATCGGGTTAAGTAGTTCAATTTCTGTTTTCAGTGCTCCATTTACATACTAGGCTTATTTTTATTCCTTTATACTTCCTCATTTCTAAACATTTCTCATGTGCTCTCTCACTAACAGTTTTGTCTTTCTGTAACTTTTGCTCTTATGCCTTAGGGGTAAGTGCCTACTTGTCCCAGAGCGTGTAATAAATAATGATTCTGATTCTGATTCTCTCTCCCTCTAATAATTCACGCACAGTAATTAAAATCCGCATGTAATTCAAGTGCAATTCGAGACAATTACTTCGACATATTTCACGCGTTGTTACGTCACTTTGTTACATATTCAACAAGCTCGGTTTCTCTCGGCATCATTTTTGACAAATGAGAACACCTCCCCCCTCTCTCTCTACGAAATTTCAATTTCGTAAAACCAGAAGTGCGCAAAAAAGTATGTTCTATGAAGGAGTGAAAATGTACAATGTGTTACCAACCGAAATAAGGTAGTATGAAAAGATTGAGTCATTTAAAAAAGTGTTAAAAGAATATGTTGCAACAGATCAATCAATCAATCAATCAATCTCTCTCTCTCTCTCTCTGTCTGACTGTCTGTCTGTCTCTCTCTTTATCTTTTCCTAGCTCGACCGGTCGCGTGCCGCATTTCGCATGTTCGGACGCGCTTTAAATTGGGCGCCCTTTAAAACGTGAGAATTATTCAACGCTCCGCCGCGTTACGCCTCCGCCCGTTTGTTATCTCGCCTCTCGCGCGTGTTACGTGACTCGAGTTACGAGCGCGCGCCAAGAAAAATGTCGCGCCGTCGACGGTACATTATGATTATCTATAAGGTATTAACTCGTTCGCCGTTGATCCTCCCGTATGTTCCGCGCGAACGTGTGTCCCTTTGACATCGCCCCGCGCGGGACCCGCTCGTTCGCGGCGCGTCATTATCCGCGCGCGCGATAATTAACTCTTTCCCGCGCGCCCGATCCGAGCGAGAACACGTGCTCCCGACGGCTCAGTCTACGTGCGCACTTTTATTTACTACGTTGTTACACTTGCCTCGGCGTTTGTCGAGTTTGTCAGAATTGAATCGGGAGACGTGATTTTTGAAATTTTCAAGCCCAATCTTTCAACGCACGCTGCCACCGCGCGCGACTTGGCAAATTATTAATTCGCGCGCGGCGCACCAAGTCTCCAAATGCCCGCGGTCGAGTTTGAATTTTATTTACCCGAACATATGCGCGCGCGCGCTCGATGCAAATACGTAATTAAAATCAAATGATTAGCATTAAATGTGCGGTGCGATTTAAACAAAATTATCGTATTTTGCACGAATGCCGCGGTTGCCTCCACGGCTCGGCAATCAGCGACGAACATTCGTTGCAAATTGACAGTAATCCGAACGGCAACAAAACATCGTTGCGGGAGAAATTCAAACTATTGTTCGCGTCCCGTAATACGATTTTGCTGCGCGTTTTATAAAGAACTTTTACTTTGTGCCGCGGCGCGCGCAAAATAAATTCGAAAAATGTGCGTGAAACAAAAGACTGTGTTTAAAAGCGCCGCTAAAACTATGTGTCGGCACGCGGATAAAAGTCGCGCAAAAACGGCGCTGCATGATACCGGCTCGTTGTTATACACGCGCTTTTTCTCAATGTTGATTCATGTAAATATATCCATTTTAATTCCAGCCTGCGAGCGGCCCGCGCAAACACCGGGTCCGCCCCTCAAAGAACGTTGTATATCAATTTTTGACGAGATGAAGCTACTGCTACAAGTATGCATATTACTAGAACGCTTCTCGTCCTTTTTACCAGCTTTACGTACACCGCGGGTAGCGTGTTGTAATTATTCGCGTATCGTAAAAATGAAACGCGTGCTCCTCGCGGATCGCAAAAATATTAATGAAAAGCTCCTCCCTCTCCCTCGAAGAAACGCGATACGCGCGTCCCCCGCGAGGGAAAGCAGGCCAGATCGATTTATCTCCCAGCATTGTGACGTCATTTATTAATTTCTCATCCGATCTCGTAATTCCGCGATGCATTTGTCAGCCGAATTGGATAACTTGATCGCGGCCGCGTGACAGGATAATGGAAAGCGGATTCGTACCTTGATAGCGATTATGCAAAGTTGATCCGCGTTCGAGGCTCCTGTTTCAGCCGCGTGACAGCGGACGTCCAGCCGCGAGAAGAAATCACGGCGCGCTGAATTCACCAGCCGGGCGAAATAGTTTTGACACGTCGCCGGCTCCGTTCGTTCGGCGCGCGGGCGGAGTAATATACGGGAGAACTTTTTCACTGCCTCAGACGCAACGTCGTGCTTAGCGGAAAACCGAGTCACCTTCTCCAAACACATTTCTGAGAAGCGCATACATCACGGAGCGCTGTCACTGCGTTTCCGCAAAAATATTCGTCAAATGTACATCGATTCGACGCGAGACTGCCATTAAAAGACGCCGAGAGCCACCGGCGGGAACTTAATATCTCGTCTTCGAGCTGTGTAGACACACGGGGCTCTCCGGAACGACACGAGTTTCATCTGAGGCTCGATCGTCAGTCCTTTTCTCTGGCGCGCACTCGTGAAAAGCGAAAAATTTCATCAACGGACTCAATATTTGTCAATGAAAATTTTCGCTTTTCGCGAGTTCCCGCTCGAGGAAAAGATTCTCATGATCGAGTCTCTGCGATGTTTACGCTCGAGACGCGAAGTCACAGCCCGGGGCGCAGGCAGGGACCGAAGAACAATTTCAAATTTTCTCTCGACGCAGAAACGAGTAAACGATAGCCGCTGAGGAAAACCCGGGACGTACTTGAGGGAAAAGGGGCTGCCTGCAGATGCGGAGACACGTTGCGCTCGTTCCTCGCGAGATGAACTCCGGGGAGGGCCCGCCTCCGTCTAACGGCACCAGACACCGAAACCGGGCGAAGCTGCGAGCGCGAACGGGTCTCCTGTCCCCGTGGGGGAGAAAAAACCCTGTCCACGACAGGTTGGGTGATTTTCACGACGCGACCGCAACACGCACGCCCCCGCGATCCGTAACCCCTTCGCGCTCGTGTACTATCAACCGCACGCGCGGGGCAGGTGCACGGATCGTCCAACCGCAACCGAGAACCACGCCGTACTAAACTCGCGGCACGGGCGGCGGAATGGTTTTGACACGCCGCCGGCTATATCCGCTTTTCCGCCGACGCGACAGTCGCGAGGGGCGCATGTGCCGATATAATCCACGCTTGTGCCGGCGTACGTTCACCTACACGCGCCCGCGCACACACATGCCGCCGCACGTACGACCGACCGCGAGAAGGGAGGTGAAAAGCGGCGAGATGGAGAACACGCACTCCGAGAGAACTTTCCACGCCCGTAGGGTGTTTCGACTCGAAGAAGAAGAAGGAACGGGGGTGAATCAGAGGGGCGCGCCAAGACTGCTGACGCTCGGTCAAGGGTTCGAAATAACGTCCTTTCGCTGCAACCGAGGGGGAAACCGCTGGGGGCATTGTAGTGTACAGATTTGCGGCATTACTAGACATTTTTTGGGCATTATTTGGGGCATTATAAAGATAAAATAAGATAAAATACGATTAAAGTAATAAATTTTC